GATTTACTACCACTGTATGTCATGAACACCTTATCACAGGAAGCAAACGAACACCTTCACTTCTCTGTGCAAAGTGTAAGGGAAATTTTGATTTTAAAGGACTGGCTACTCTGATTTCAGACCATAGGACAAAACCAATTTCTGCGCTATTCTCAAGTTACAGCCTATTTCTTTTTTAAGCCAGAGCTTTAAGTAGGAAATAGTTGTCAACATTCTTTTGTTACAGCGGTTGGTCCCGAGGACAAACTGAGCGGCAAACGGCGAGTGGGAGAGTCAAAGTTTATTCGCCAGCGGGCTCAGAGGGGTCTCACCACCAAATTCTGAGCCCCATCTACCAGATTTTTCCCACTTTTATTAAGTTGGGGTGGTCCAAGGGGTGGGGTCTCAGGTGGCTAATGCCTGCCAGGTAATAGGTTAGTTGATGTGTCAGATAATAGGTTAGTATTATGTTGATGCACTAGGTAATAGATTAGTTGATGGGCCAGGGAATAGGTTAATATTATGCTGATCGGGTCTTCGGTGAGGGGTGGGTGTCTGAGGTGGCTGATGTGCCAAGTAATAGATGGGGTTTTCCTTATCATTCCCCCTTTTGATGCCCTTATGTCCACTATAGGGCATCATTTCCCAGTGGGTGATAGCCTCATAAGCTTCCCCATACCTTCTGAGTGCCTCTCGTCCCCTTGGGAGTTGAAATCCCAATCCGGGTTGGTCGCGGGTACTGCTCTCTGTGCCCACTGCTCCATGTCCAAGGTCCCTGCTGCAGCCTGGTCCTGGAGCCACCTCCGGGTCCTAGCTACAATCCGGCGTTGTTCTTCCGTGTTGAAAAGGGTCAGAAGGAGCTGGCAGCAGTCTTCCCAAGTGGGATGGTGGGTCTGACAGATGGATTCCAGGAGGTCAATGAGGGTCTAAGGTTTTTTGGAGTATGGCGGGGTGTGGTGCTTCCAGTTCAGAAGGTCAGTGGCGGAGAAGGGCTGGTAGTACAGGACTGGCTGAACGGACCCACCGTCCATAACCTGCATCGGACCTCGCGACCTCACACCTCACGCCGGGGCATCTGGAGGGCTGAAGTTGGGGCCTGAGCTGACCGTAGCCAGCGGGTGATGGGAGTGTAGGCACCTGGTTGGTCTGGAAGTGGTGGCGGGGAGACTGACGGTGGCGGGGTGTCTGGTGGATTCGGGTGTACTTTAGGAGGTGTCATGGTAGGGTTGTAGGGTGGTGGTGGTGGCCGATCCTCTACAGGAGCTTCCTGATAGATGAGTTTGGACAGTTTAGAGTCTTTGGTCCTTTGGGCCACAAAAATCCTGCTCTGTCCCTTATTAGCCCAGAACCAGATCCAAGGGGGCATGGTCTGAACAATCTCTAGCCATGAATCTATGTAAGGGAATTGGTTGGCGTGGCCGGAATTCCTGATCACAATTCTCCAAACTGCTCGCACGGCGGGGAGGTCTGAGGTTCCTGTTGCGGGCCAGTCAACCCCGAATGTGGGCCATTCGTGTTCACAGAGGGCCCTAAGCCTACTGGGACTCAGTGTGATGCCATAATCTCCTGTGAGACCCTTCTTAAAGTTCTTTAACATGCATTTAAGGACTGTAGGCTAAGATTCTATGCTACCCATCCTAGACCCTTGAACGCTGTCGCAGCTTAATAGACAAAGGGGTGGGAGGCTTCTCTCAGGTGTCCGCCTGGCTGTGTCCCTCTCGGGAATTTAGGTGCGTCTTGGCGAAGGTGCCCATATAGACCCTGGGCCTGGTTGCTCCCTTTAGGGGAGTGAATCACCGTTATGCCATACGCTGCTGCCGCAGAACCGCAGGTGAGGACCCACTGAAGTTCCGAAGTCGTAGCCATGGAACCACAGTCACCCTTCACTCACTCGTCACTCGCTCATTCAGACAGGCAGAGGCTACACATTCCGCCCTGGGAATTCCCTGCACTTAGGAGGTGATCAAGGTCCTCTTCTGTCCTCTGACAGGCCTGACTCGGACGGATCCCCGGACCTTACCTGGTCCGATGCCTCCAGACCCGATTTGACTTGTCTGTCCCTCCAGCAAGTCCAGGCGAGTTCGGGACCCTGTGGCCCGCGGGAGCTCCTGAGGAGCGAAGATACTCCACAAAATGGCGGTTGGCGCCAGTTCGCTTCTGTTGTTGAGGTCCCACCAGTCCCTGCACCTGGTCCCCGAACCAGTGGCTTCAAGGGGCCAGTGCAGTCGGTTTTCCTGGTCAGGGAACCACAGTGTTACAGCAAGTGTTACAGTGGGTGGCCCGGAGGACAAACCAAGTGGCACACGGGGAGTCGGAGAGTCAGAGTTTATTTCCCGGCGGGGCTCAGAGGGATGTTACCGCCAAATTCTGAGCCCTGTCTACCCAATTTTCCCCACTTTTATTAAGCTTGGGTGGTCCGAGGGGTGCGGTCTCAGGTGGCTAATGCCCGCCAGGTAATAGGTTAGTTGATGCACCAGGTAATAGGTTTAGTGTTATGCTAATGTCCCATTTAATAGGTGAGTATTATGTTGATGCACCAGGTAATAGATTAGTTGACGGGCCAGGGAATAAGTTAACATTATGCTGATGCAGGTCTTCCGTAAGGGGTGGGGGTCTCAGGTGGCTGATGAGCCAAGTAATAGATGGGGTTTTCCTTGTCATTTTGGGAAAATAACATCTTAAAATCATAGCGGAAATTTTTAGAAAACGTGAAGGGGAAAAGTACATAAGCACACAAGTACAGGAACTGACTAATGTTTTACTCTCCATCTTTTATTTTTACTCCCAAGATTATTTTTAAAGAAATCTATTTAGATTTCTGTTTTGGTTAAAGGTAGGGATGAAGTTTAAAATAGAGGTTTACAAATTTGTGGATTGTGGTAGGAATCTTGTAAAGGAATACGTGTTTGTATTAGTCATATAAATGTGGTAGATTCAGCAGGTTGTGATTCTGCTGAGATTTTAGAGTTCTTACAAAACAGGAAACTTACCATGGCTTTGATCATCGGTAGACTCTCATCGTCATAAGTATTAACTTGTAGATAAGAAAGCATTAAGCATAGCACTTAGGTTTTATAACTTGGCTGCTCAATCTTCCCAGTTTCTGGAAGTAATTTTGTGTGACATAATACCAAAGTGGGGAGAGGCAGAAGGGTGGAGGGAAAAGTAGGAAATCACACCACACTTTTCCATTTGATGATATTTCAGCTTTCAGCAGCGAGGCATATCTGTGTCGACATTGAGATAAAGAACTATAGACAGGTCAAGGAAGTGACTGCAGTTAAAAATTGTATTCTTGCTATGTTTATTGAATCAGATAACTCCAACTATGTGATCCTCCAGAAAAGAGCCTTTTTCTTCACACCGATACCTGCCGTGATTTCCAGCAAAAATAATTTCAAGTAACTTAAGAGTCAAACTCTCAAAATCGGTTTAGGGATCAACATATATTAGGTCCCTGTGTTTGCATGTGTGTTAATCTACATAAGCAAACTTCCTAGTGGAAAGATCCCAATTACTTCCCTCTTAGCCAGCTTCCCATCCACCCAGACTGACTAAATAAAGCAGCCCTAATAAAGGCTTATCTAGTCATTGAAAACAAGACAGATCCTTACCCACTTGATTTCATTGCAAGAAAGCGTACTCTGAAATATAGAATTTTTCAAAATTAAATAATGTGTAAGTCATATAAGGCCAGATGTTACTCCTGTTATAAAGATCATCTATAATAACTAGATATCCAATCATCTGTAATTAATCATTTGTATTAATATATTAGTGAGGCTGCTAAAATACTTGGTTTGTGTTTTCAATAGTTTAAATGTTTACTTTGCAATATTACATATTGTCTACTTTAGTGAGACATTTTTCCTCAAGGAAAGATCTCAACTCAAGAGGAAAACACCAACTCAACCTGTACCTAAATGATCATACCTCTAAAATGAATAGGATTCAAATTAATAAAGTTTTGCTGTTTAAAAAAGAAATAACAAACAACAACCTTCTCGGTGTATAAATAAGGACTACCCAGAGAAGGAGGTTGCTTGGAGTTGGTGCTGAAGTATTTGTCCAGTTGGATTGAACTCTTGGTCAAAAATGAATTTATATCTGTGAAAGCCAGGATTGATGGGCTTGAGTTATTATTGCTCTATGTCCTGTCTTCATTCTTTTTGCAGAAAATTATATTTACATCTTTTTCGGTCTTTAAAACTTCTGCTGCCTTCCCATCAATTATGTCCTGTCTTAATCCTTTTTCTTATCACAAGGTGAATAATTGGGTATGCTCATTGTCAACAAGTTCTGTCCTCTAGCCCTCCTCCAAGAGTAGTAATCCTGTCTTTGAAAAAAAAAAATGGAGTTAAGCAAAAGGTGCATGGGGGGGGGCTGTTTATGGCCTTTCCTCCTTCCTTAGGATCTTCCTTTCCCCGCCCCCACCCCCAGGTACTTGTTTCCTTTTCCCAAAGGATAGTGTTCTTCTTAGGTGACACTCTCAAAAAGGTTCTGATTGTCTTCTAATTTCTGCTTGAGGCTATGAGGTATTTTCACTTGGGGTCTCTGAGAAATAATTACAAATACAGGAGTTGCTCCCTGCTTTCCAGACACAGCATTCAGCACTTCATTCAGATCAACTCATTTAATTCTCAGAAGGGTCTTGTGCTATAGGTGTGATCATTATCTCCATTCTACAGATGAGGAAAGTGAGATAGAGAGTAAACAAATTGCATAAGGTCTCTATGTGGCTCCAGGTGGCACCAGGATTTGACTCTAGGCTTTCTGACATTGCATGCTCTTAACCGTATCACTGTAATCACCTCTCTAAAACTAAAAATCCCGTTAGGACTTAGAGACGGGCCTTTGGAATGTTGGGATATGGCGTTATGGCATATGGATGAAGAGAGATTTTTTACTCTGGTACCCTTGAACTCCCATTCTGAATAGGCCAATGTCTGCTTACTACTAGTGTGGTTTTTCTTGATGATTTTTTTTTTTAACCTTTTGATTCTGTTTTCTTTTTTCTCTAGGATTGCTCTCACATCTGGTGTGACCTCTGTTTCGTGTCACATCTAAAACTCATCTGTACTTCCCTTAGAAAGGTAAATATGTCTTCTGTTAAACCCTGGAACTCCTGCTCTGCAGCTCTCCCGTGGTCAGCCTCGGCTCTGTAGTCTCATTCTCCCCCTGCGCTGGAGCACACACCACAGCGTTCTGCCTCTTCCGCTGTAGCGTGTGTTACGTTCCAGAAGGCACTTTTGCATTTGAGGGACTTCAGGCCTTGAGGGAAAAATAAGGTTGGGGAATAAAGGTTGAGAATGTATGAAAGCCTACTTTTCACTCTTTAAAAAAAAAAAAAAAAAATCAAGAGAACATGCTAAGAAATATCATTGCTGTTTGTTCATGTTAAATTAGACATAATGGGTACTGTACAATTTATTTTTATTTATTAGGACTTGTTAGAAACTTTGCGATCTCCTTCTCTTACATTTTAAAAAAGATGTTTTCAAATGGTTTATCTTAAATACCAGAAAAAAAATTTGAGGTGTTATCCTCTTCCTAAAGTCATAATATGAGGCAATTCTCAATTTACATATGTTCTATCTCTAAATTTTCTGAAGTTGTGAAATAGGCTATGTCACTAAATCCAGTGGTTATTCGAGGGGATTCATGGTTGGCAAGGGCCTCATTATATATCAGAAGTTTTTATTTCTTATTTTCCACTATTTACGTGGAGATTACGATTTGTTGTAACCACCACCTATTTCAAGATGATTCCTAACTCCAGCCTTAAATTGCATATCCAACGTTTTTGTTGTTTTTCCCATAACATGTTTTAGTTCTCTGTTCAAGCCCATTTCCCCCTAAAGCAGCCCTCCCTTGTTTTTTAGCTTTAGTGCTGACTGTTGCTTAATCATAACTCTTGGCCTCTCTCTGCACATTTTTTGCAAAATGTCCTTGACTGTAATAATGCTATGTTTTTTTTTTATTCTAGTTGTCTTTGTAAGTTTTCTTATATTCTATCTTATATTTGATTTCCCTCCACCCCCAAACCTCTCACTAGATAAACCACTTCCCAATTCTGTGATCTTGAGGCTAACCTCTAGGAAGGCTGTCTACAGCGGCCTTGGGTGGAAGGCTAACTGAGGAGAATATTAGGTTGTGCGTTTAAATTCCTGTTTTCCAAATGATTCTAATTAAAACTAGTCCTCCTCCCCACCAATACATTCAGAAAGAAAAAAGTAGCAAAATCCAAAAATGCCTGAATCACTTGTATATCATTTGGGTCACTTTATGACACCTCTAAGACCAGTCCATGCCAGGCCCATTGGTAATTGTTTTCTCCAGTTAAACACGATATTACCATTAAAAGCGCAGCAAATAGTATTATACTACTTAAGAAGTTAGGAATCTTTCAAATACATGACAAACAATATGTTAAAGCACACAGATAATAACAGAAATGTCCTTTATAGGTACTGCACGTTAGGAGATGGAATTGTGTCATGATCCACATTGAAGATGATGGCTGTGAATCTGACTTCCTGTTACATATATCGTATTCCAAAATAAGTTATTAATGCTTCCTAATTGTGAGCTTACCCACCATGTAAAATCGTTTTTGACACTTCTTATTCACAGACCACATCTACTTTGTACGTGTACTTTGGACACTGTACCAGTTATTGCTCCTCTGTACGTACATATAGAATGTGTAATCTTATAACTGCTCTACAAGATAGTCAAACATCCCCATTTTATGGCAGAGGAGACTGAGGCTTAGAGAAGTTGTGCGGCTTGCCTGAGATCACACACTTTCCAAGCAGCAGAGCCAGCATTCAAATCTAAACCCATCTGACTCAGAAGCCAATGCCCTTTATGCCAGACCACCCCATCTTTCTTAGGTTGTATGTAGAAAAACACGACCATTTGGTTAGTTTCTTAACTAACTGTAGGAGCACAACTTAGTATTAAGTAGAGCATATGTCCTACATAGTGGAGTGAGGTAAAGTAAAATGCATTATACCACTTTTAGGTAAGAAAAGTTATTATCTAAGGAATATCATTAAAATTTCCTTACTTCCTTCTCCATGAGCAAACAAACAAAACAAACAGGAAGTTAAAATGAAGGCAGTTGGGGATGAAGGGAGTTATAGGAGAGTGTTAAATATTATTATTATTATTATTAAAATTAGAAAATAAAGCACATTTCTCCATCGATGTTTAAAATAATGCTAGGAATTATGCATGCTTATACTGTATAACAAAGCGTACTTTATTTGGGGAATAACTTAATTGATCCATTATGTGGCATCTACCAAGGCAATTTTTTCCTTTTTGTTCCAGCAGCAGGAATTAAAAGTGATTCATAAAACACACACAATCACCATGAAAATTGGAACCACATTAAGATCATAGTCATTTTATGTTGTTTCCTTAAAATGGTTCTCATTTGCCCCATATATTCAAGTCAAAGTGCATAAGAGCGTTGTTAGTTCTGATTCAGGGATGATTTAGAATTCTCTGTGAACAGTTAATTTATTATAGAGAAACTTCAGAGTTCAGTCATTGCTTTTATTCTTTTTGCGCACAGTGGGTTTGTTTGGTTTGCCATGGGAATTACTGTTTGCCTGTTCTAATGTACATAATGGATAAATCCAGGAGAATAATCGGTATGTGTGCTGTCTGAGGTCGGTTTCTGTAACACAAGCCTGAACATATTGCTCTCCTGATTAAAAACTTTCAGTGGTTCTGATTAGACAGGACTCTTGGTTGCAGTTGACAGAAACTAATGGGACCTTTGAAGAATTCCAAACAGGCAAGTGACAGGAACATATTTGCATATTAGAAGAATCACTCTGACAGTAGCATTGTGATGAGAATGAAGGGGAGCCGAGTGGATCTGTCTCCAGCGTGTGGAAATACCCTTCCCCTGCCCCGGCTGACTCCAGGCTCTCGTCGCACCACGCTGGTGGTGCATATAAAGGAAGCCACGTGAAAATTCAGTTTTGGCCGATAGGACAGACTCGTTCCCCATTCTCTACCATCTCTCCCCACCCCCCCACCCCCACCTCTGCCATTCTTGGGGCACTGCAGATTGGAAGACAGCCTCCTGTGGCTGGTTGCCCATGTCAGGAGGTGGTGCTGGAGAGGGGCCCTGTGAGTGTTCACTAGCTGTGTCTTTCTCTCATTCCTTCTGGGTCTCACCTGTCAGGTGTAACAAGGGAAGCAAGTGCAAAGAGAGGCTAGACCCTTGTGAGACTGGAGCCCTGGCTCGGTGGGTAGGAGGGTGGTGGGATTTAAGGTTGGCACGGTCTCCAGGGTGACCCACGGATTTTTATATAGCAGTTTTTGGTTTTGTGCTAACCGGTTGCTTGAGAGCCACCAGTGCCCCGAGGTGTTTATTAGAGATATTATTGTATGAGGGACTCGCACACGGAGGTTCCGTCCCAGTGTGAGTTTGTCTGCTTTCTTGACTAGCAGGACGGTGGCTGCCAGTGCGCGGGGGCAAGAGGCCATCTTGCCGCTATCGGATTTAATTGTTTAGACAAGTAAGCCACTGGTCTCTGCCACAGGCCCACAGTTTGAGTCAAAATCCCCAGAGTCATGTGTTTTTTGTGTGTGTGTACAAACAGGTTAAAGTCTTTGGTGAGGTCCCCGTAGTCCTAGTGTGGGGGCTCTTTTTAGTAAGTCTTTTGTTTCCTGGAAAGCCATTTCCTGACTCTTGGCCCATTCCAATTCTTTGCTTTCAGGACCCTGTAGGGCCTCGTATAGAGGCTTGGCCTTTAGGAGAAACTTGGGATTTATTTAGATGTGGCAGAATCCGGCCTCACCGAGGAATTTTCTGAGTTTTCTCCAACTGGTCAGCCTGGGAATTGTATAGATGGTGTGCTTTTGCTCACGACCCAGTGTCCGACGCCCCTGAGTGATTTGGAAACTGAGGTGCTTCACCTGTTGCCTGCAGAGCTGTGCCTTTTCCCAGGAGACTTTGTATCCTTTGTCAGTGAGCAATTGGAGCAGGCACCAGGTTCCCCGGTGGCAATCTCCTCTGGTTGGGCTTGCTAGAAGGAGGTCATCGACGTACTGTGGAAGTGTGCAGCAGGTTTTTTCTTGTGGAAAGGAGATGAGGTCAGTGGCCAGAGCCTCCCTGAATAGAGTTGGTGAATTTTTAAATCCCTGTGGTAGTTGCGTCCAGGTCAGCTGGGTTTTCCTTCTAGTCTGAGGATGCTCCCACTCGAAGGCGAACGGGGGCTGGCTCTTCGGAGCGAGCCACATGCAGAAGAAGGCATCCTTTAAGTCCAGGCAGGAGAACCAGGCAGCATCAGGAGGGATGAGGCCCAGCAGGGTGTATGGATTCAGTACCGCTGGGTGGAGAGTCACTGTAGCCTCATTAATCAGTTGCAGGTCTTGGATGGGCCGGTATCCACTTCCGTTGGGCTTTTTGACTGGCAGAAGGAGAGTGTTACATGGGGTTTGGCACTACACCAAAATCCTCTCCCGCTTAAGCCTATTGGATGTGTTCCTGAATTTCCTCTTGAGCCTTCTTGGGGTTGGGGTACTGTCGTCTCCTGGTTGGTTGGGCTCCTCGTTTCATCTCGATCACCAGGAGTGCGTGTTGGTGTGCAAAATTGAGGGGGTTGTCTTCTACCCATATCGACAGAAAATCCTGCGGGAAGTCAGGTGGGTTCTTTTCCTCTTTGGCCTCATCCTATAGCTTCCGTTCCAATTTCTGGGGCAGGGTCGCCACCATTATGAGAGTCTGTGGGGCGCCGAGCATGAGGCTTGCGGTCCCTTCCGGGTGGAAGGTGATCTGGGCTTCCAGTTTGCTCAGGAGATCTTCACCTAGGAGGAGAACGGGGCAACCCAGTATGTAGAGGAATTTGTCTTATCTGGTGGCCCCCCATCTGGCATATTCGGGTTTGGCAGAAGAGTCGAGGTACCTAAATTCCAGTGGGTTCCACAATGGTGGTTTCCCGCTTTGTAAGTGGAGCCACTGGGGTTGTTACCACCGAGTGTTCTGCCCCAGTGTCCACCATGAACATGGTGGCCCCCCCCCCAACTTCCATTATGACCGTAGGCTCCCAGGGGCCAAGCGTCAGGGAACCCGGTCAATCCTATTCCGAGTCAACCACAGTGAGACTGTTGAGGTCCTGGGTCTCTGGCTCTTGCTGGAAGCCCTTGGGGAGGTTTCTGTTTGGTGATGGGTGGTATTTTGTTGGGGCATTTATGCTTCTAGTGACCAAACTCTTTACAATAGGTGCACTGGTCAGGCTTCAGTGTCCCTAGTCTCCTGGGTCCTCCTTCCCATGGTGGGCCAGGTCTCTTGGCTGGGTCAGGTCTTCCGAGGGCAGAGGCCAGGAGAGCAGCTTTCTGTTTCATTTTCTTGTCATTCTCCCTCTGAGTGGTCCGGTTTCGATTAACATAGACCTTCTGGGCCACTTCCATCAGCTGCGTGATGTTCATTCCTGCAAACCCATCAAGTTTCTGGAGTTTCCATCTGATGTCAGTATAGGACTGACCAACAAATGGGGCATTTACCATCTGCTGATTTTCGGCCGCCTCTGGGTTGAAGGGTGTGTAGACTTGGTAGGCCTCACAAAGACGCTCATAGAATTCGCTCGGTGATTCTTCCGGCTTCTGTATGATCAGAGCGATGTTGTTCATGTTGGTTGGTTTTCTGGCTCCCTCCCGGACCCCGTGGAGGAGAGCTTCCCCATACCTTCTCAGTGCCTCTCTTCCGCTCAGGGAGTTGAAATCCAGGTTGGTCTCGGGTGCTGCTCTGTGTGCCCACTGCTCCACGTCCAAGGTCCCTGCCGCAGCCTGGTCCTGGAGTCATCTCCGGGTCCCAGCTACAATCCGGAGTCATTCTTTCGTGTTGAAAAGGGTCAGAAGGAGCTGGCGGCAGTCTTCCCAAGTGGGATGGTGGGTCTGACAGATGGATTCCAGAAGGTCAACGAGGGCCTGAGGTTTTTTGGAGTATGGCGGGGGATGGTGCTTCCAGTTCAGAAGGTCAGTGGTGTTCTCCACCACTGGAGAAGGGCTGGTAGTACAGGACTGGCTGAACGGACCCAGCGTCCGTAACCTGCATCGGACCTTGCACCTCACGCCGGGGCATCTGGAGGGCTGAAGTTGGGGCCTGAGCTGACCGTAGCCGGTGGGTGATGGGAGTGTAGGCACCTCGTTGGTCCGGAACTGGCGGCGGGGAGAACCGCAGGTGAGGACCCACTGTAGTCGTAGTTGTGGAACCACAGTCACTCATTACTCATTCAGACAGGCAGAGGTTACACATTCCCGCCCTGGGAATTGCCTGCACTCAGGAGGTGATCAAGCCCCTTTTCCGTCCTTTGATGGGTCTGACTCGGACGGGTCCCAGGACCTTGCCTGGTCTGATGCCTCCAGACCTGATTTGACTTGTCCATCCGTCCCTCCAGCGTGTCCGGGCGAGTTCGGGACCCCGCAGCCCGCAGTAGCTCCCGAGGAGCGAAGATATTCTGCAAAACGGTGGTTGGCGCTGGTTCACTTCTGTCGTCGAGGTCCCACCAGTCACTGCGCCTGTCCAAACCAGTGGCTTCAAGGGCCAGCGCGGTCGGTTTTCCCAGTCTGGGAACCAAAATGTTACAGCAAGTGTTAGAGCGGGTGATTCCGAGGACAAACCAAGAGGCACACGGAGAGTCGGAGAATCAACGTTTATTTGCTGGCGGGCTCAGAGGGGTCTTACCTTCAAATTTTGAGCCCGATCCACCCAATTTTTCCCACTTTTATTAAGTTGGGGTGGTCCGAGGGGTGGGGTCTTACATGGCTAAGGTAATTGGTTAGTTGATGTGTCAGGTGATAGGTTAGTATTATGTTAATGTACCAGGTAATAAGATAGTTAATATACCAGATAATAGGTTTAATATTATGCTAATGTGCCAGGTAATAAATTAATGTGCCAGGTAATAAATTTAGCATTACATTAATGTGTCAAATAATAAATAAAAATTTTCCTTATCACCTCTCCCTTTCTAGGTATTTGCATAGGACTCAGAGGAGTTAATCTTGTGAGTATACTCTAACATCTGCCCTTGTTTCCTTCCTGCCTTTGCTATCTGCCTCAGGGTTTTAAAGCACAGGACTGTACCCCCCTCCCACCCCACCCCCAGGTCACCTATGACTTTGTAGAGTCCACACTTCTCTCTCCAATAAGGTGGTGGCCTTTTTTGAAAACTAGGTAGGCTCCAGTTGTCCCAGTTGTAGCTAGTCTGTGGCACAGATACACGCTTATTACACATAAGATCCTTAGCACCTCATTGAGGCACGCCACAGGTCTGAATCTGGCTTCACAACGTCAAGCATGCAAGAAGTATTACATTTTTTATTCCCCGTAAGCATCTTAAATGAGACTCCAGCCCCCATTCTGCCAACCTAGAGGGAATTTTCATGTCGGACATTTTTAGGTGCCTCCCCTTCCCCATGTATCTAGGACACATGGAGTGTGTCCTAGAACCCAGAGATTTCTACTGGGCACCTGCAAGGTGAGGACCCAGCCTTGACCTTGGTATATCATAACAGCGGTCTCACAGCCTTGCAGCTGTGTCTGCCTCAGGGCCACCAGTGGAAGCTGGAAACCTCTTGCCAAAGGTCTGGCCTCCCGAAGCATCCCCCATGCAGCTGTCCTTGGGGTTCTACCGACTGCCTTGAGGAACAGAGCAGTGTATGGCCCCCTTGCTGGGAGCTGACAGATCTCCTTTTCTTTCCAGGCCCGAGGTTGGGGTGCGGGGTGGGGATAGAAAGGAGAGTGTCTTTTGGGTACCTTCTTATCCACCCTCTCCTCCCCTCCTCCCCTCCCAGAAGTCCAGTGGAATTTCCTCATTTGGTTTAGATGTTGTTAACAAAGACAGACTTCTTCAGGCTGCTTCTGTCTTCAGCTAGACGAAAATACCAGGGGTTACAAAACCTGCCACCTGTTTTAAATGAGCTAGGAAAGGAAAATTGTCAAGAGGATAAACAGTACAATTCCTGAGTTGTCCTGCATGCCCATTCGGAGGCCATAAAAAAGGCAAACTTCAACCAAACAATGGGTAACTATGGGAATTAAGAGAAGGAAACAAATTTGAGAGACAGTAAGCTGGTAGAATCTGTAAAGCTTAATCAGTGGAAAAATCTAGACTGCAGAGTTTCTGACTTTGGAGAGGCTAGGAAGTGACATGGGAAGAGATTGACTTTGGAATCACACACTGCATTCCCATCCCAGCTCAGCCGCTTGCTGGTTGTAGGACCGTGGGCATGGAACCTTTAAGCCTTAGTCTCCCCATAAGTAAAATAGGGTTAATGCTGTTTACTCGTGTGTTTGCTCAGGGTGTTAAGTAAAGTACTTAAGATGATAGTTGTCAGCTGGGGAGTGTTTTGCTCCTGCAGAGTGGTGCCATTAGCTACTACAGGTAATGCTGGAGGAGAAGCAAGTGTGGGGCTTAGAGTGTCTTGCTTTAGCATGGGTGACCTTGAGGGGCACTGCTAGGTATCCACGCTGAGAGGTGTGGGAGGTAGTTAGATGTACTTGCCCAGAACTTGAAAGAAAGCTCAGGGTTGAAGATCAAGATTTCAGAGGCCTCTGACCTCAGGAGTAGTTGAAACCTTGGGTTGTACATAAGACCCCCCAGGGAGATAATGTACAGTGTGGAAATGTGGAAGACCAGGTGCCAGGCCCACAGTCTGTTCCAATTTCGAGTGACCCTTTAGCAACATGCCCCTCTGTGTCATCTTTCAGATGACATTATTGTCTGGAGGTGAATCTAAATATCGCAGTTAAGGTCTCCACCTGAAAGATATAATCTCATGCTTCACCATGATCCATCTCCCTGAGATAAGATTCAGTTGTCTGTAATCTACCAAATCGGGTGGGCTCCTTTCCATCTGGAATTGCAGTCTTTAGAAGAAAACATATCGGAGGGGCTTTTCAAAAACAAACCTTGCACATCTTCAATCTGGAGGATTCTTTCACTGAAAACCAGGGCAGACTTCCCAGTGTTTGGTGGTTGCCTAATTCTTTCCCACTCAGATCCTTAGAAACAAAAAAGTCAATCTGAAGAATTTGCTTAAGTAAAACCAGGAGTAGCTAGAAGTGAATGAGCTGAAACTGGAAGGAAATCCCTTTGTTCAGTATGGGTTTCAGTGAATGCCCAGCCGGCGGCTAAACCAGTTCATTAACTGAGAAAAAGACACGTTCTTAAATGCTGTTCTCAGAAGCCAAATGCCTAGAAAAACATATTGTGACAGCAAAAATGCATTCTGGAAATCATATGCTCTAGATTCACGATGGCTTAGTTTTTGTCGTCAGCGGATAAACAAATCATTTCCCCCAAAATATTTTCCTCTTCATTTAAAACACTTAACTAATCTGTTTACCATGTGCCAGTCTGCTTTCCTAGAAAAATGTGATTTTTTCTTGCTACTCTGGGACTCAGAAACTTTTATCTTTAGGATTGCTTAATTTTATAGGGTCATTTATACCACTTACTTAAAACAAGAAATTGACGTCCAAAAACCTTTTCTCTCTGCTTTTGAAATCTAAATTCTGACCTGAAAAGCAATTTCCAAGTAGTATCCTGTCAAACTGAGATGTGTTATTTTTCCTAACCGTTTCTTCTCTGCTTTATTAAATCATCATATGCTGCACATGCTTCTCCCCTAGGCCGGCCTGCCGTGGGTCCCCGGCGCATTGTTAACCATTTCAGCATCGTACTGGTGCCGACATGGCAGCTGGGAAGGGCCGAGGGACTTGATCCCTCCCTGCCAGGGTTCTCCTCTTTCACTAGTGCCGCTTACATTGAACAGCTTAAGAATAAGCTCCTGTGTGAGCCCTCCGAGGCCAAGGAGTATTGTTGAATTCAGAAAGGAATCGTTTTCTTTTGGTGACAATTTGAATATTTTGACAATGAAGCTAAGCTCCTCCACTGCCTGGTTTGTGTACCTCGTGCTATGCCCTCCCTTTCCTGTGAAGCAGAAGAGAGCCCCCGCCTCTCTGAATACGTAAATTGGTATTGTCCGTTTGTGAGATGGGTAGCCGCAAAGGAGGAATCATCCAGAAGAATTTCTATTTTGCTTTAATGTTCTGAAAAAAATTAATACCAGCCTTTGGAGACCACCCAATTAAACCACCAGAATAAATGTTGAGCATTTTGAGAAAACGGGTGGACCGTGACGATGATTTGTGAAGTGTTTACACATGCAAAACAGGGAAAACATGGATCGCAAAGTCTCTGAACGATGCAGACAAATAACCTGCTCACTGCCAATTTTTTCCTGAATTGCAAGGGGTAATTTTTAATGTTAATTGTCTAAAAATGGCCTTAATTTTTCCCATTTTTAACTTAAAAGGATGTTCCCATACAAAATAAATGGACATAGCCTTTTGAATCAAATTAAGAGAGGAAAACAGGCAACCAAGTGAATAAATCACTTAGGTGAGATGTAATTGGCTTTGTTTCATAATAGATTTACCTTTGTACTGGTTAAGAAAATCCTGAAAATCTTTCCCCATATGAAGATTGATGGGTTGGAATAGTCTTAGTTGGAAAGAGCCAACTTTTGTAACTAATTGGTGATCAGACATACTGGCTTCCAAATGCTCATCAGGGTTCGGTGGTACAAAGCTGGCTGTAGATTTGGCTTCTGAGGACTCGTTAAAAATATAAATTTCCCGGGCTCCAGTGATGCTGTTTCAGTTGGCTCTAGTTTGCCTTGTGGCCTAGGAATCTGTATTTTTAAAAGGTTTCCATACTAATTCTAATGTAGGTTTAGTAACCATTTAACTGAATATTCAACTTGGAGACTTCATCCTTTTCGCCCTGCATATTTGATAAGTCTGTATGTTTATATGAAGCTTTTGTTGAAGATGAGTGCCAACTGGTTATTGCATTGCTGACTTTCTTTCAATTCATAATTTGTTTCAGGTTCTGATATTGCATAGATTTGCATACCTGTTTTATGGTATTTTAATACTGTTGGTTTAAAAAAATACCATTTCCTCTGAGTGCTGTTTTGAATATTTTACGTAAGCAATTTCATGTGTTTTTATTCCACTTGCCGAAAGCAGGGGAAAACTTGAGAGTTTTTCTAATCCAGTTTCAAGTAGGACAAAGGATATAAGTACTTAAAGATCATCTAAAATACTGAATATACATAAATGCATGGAAAAAACACTAGAAAATCTCTGTACATCATCAGTTGTGTGGGTGTGCTGTTGAAGTGAAGCTCAGGTTATAGAGTAAGGGGGGTACGTCTTTCTAGCTTCATTCACTGAAGATGTACAAGGTCTCTTCTTACAGGTTTGAATCTTCAGACAAGCCTCGGAGAGGACTCCATACCTGCCTTGCAGCTGATGTTTCCTGTCATCCAGTAGGTGCGCAAGTTTTAAAATTATTTCTCGTTGGGCATGTTTGTTAATGACTGCTTGGAAACACACAGTAAACTTAGGCAAGGATGTGCTGGAGGTTTCAGGTACTTCAAAAAGGTTGTAGTAGAAAAAAAAAAGATGTTTCCCTTCAAACTGCAAAATGCTTTGGAACAGGATTCTTTTAGCCATTTCTTTTTTAAAGCATCTGTATGGTCTGTTTCAGGAACCCGATAATACAGTTAGCAACTTTTCGGAGTCTCTTCTGTCCGCTATCCACGGCCCAGTCATGGCTGCAGATCTGCGGCGTTTTCTGCCCACACCCCTGTCAGTTCAAAAACATGAAACCTACCCCTGGCTACACTCCTAAGTGCAGCATAAAGGATTTTCCTCCCTCTGGGTAATATACTGACTGATGAATCTGAGGAGGATGCTGGTCACATACCGGCTGCACCGGGCAATCTAGCCACATATTCTGAAGCTTGATTTGGAAGAAAAGAAAGCTTATTTGGTCAAAGCTGTTGCTGAAGTTCATTGCTCACATAGCTTGGCTAGGAGGATGGCAGGGTGTAAGAGCAGTGAGCGCACGGCTAAGCTCAGAGCACCTGGGTATAGCCTCTGTTCATCATTGTCATGAGAAACGAGATTAATGGAAGCTAATTCTTTTGGGGCACTTGGTATTTGCTAGGCGCCTTGCTCGGTACGGTACGTCCCTTGCAGCATCTCGTTAGTCCATGCTTACGGGCAATCAGCTTAGATCCTCTGAGCCTCAATTTCCTTATTTGTCAAATGGAGACAGTGATGCCTTTCTACCTATCTCACAGGACTGTGAGATGGAAATTATTAGACAAAATAGCACGAGAGGGCTTTATGAGCACAACTGAAATATAATTTATGAAATATTGGTTCCTATTGAAATACAATATTGCTAAATATTATTTGGATTTATTGACCAAGAAACTGAAATTCATCCCCACAGGGCCAACCTGTCTGCTAGGACCTGAGAAAGGCACCAGCAGTTCGAATTAGGTTTGGGAGGTGGGGGAGGGCACCTTGCCTTGTGTCTTCTGTTTACAGTGCGCTCGACATTTGAAGACTGGGTGTGATAACCAGGAAGATCCTGGAATGTGTCTGCCCGTGGGCTGAAGACAGGTGGGGGTGGCCAACACACCAGGCCATGTCTGTCTCAGGACCTGAGGGGGACAGGCCCAAGCAGGAAGGGACAGTACAGTCGCTAGGCAAGCCGGGAAGGAAGAGCAACTGCAGACATCGCTCTAGGCTACTGGGAAGGAGCAGCAAGCACGCAGCGCTAGAGATTGGGCTCATTGTGAGCAAGGTGCCCGGCCTCCAGGCCTGCGGGCGTGCAGAGCAGCACAGGAAAGCTCTGCGGCTGGGCCGGGGAGGGACCACACATGTGGCTTGCAAGGATCGCTACTTAGAGAGTTCACATTCCTCCCCCATTGAGCTGGGTATGATTGTAATGGTTTGTTAAACAAACAAAGGACCTAAAACTGTGAATGAGAGAGAAAAAAGACTTAAGGTGAAAAGGAGAAGAGGCCCTGCTTGCTAGTGTTCCACTCTTTTTAAGCTTCCTTCCCTATTTCCTTAACATTCCTTTCCCCTTTCAGAGAAGCCAGTGTAGTAGCTTGGAAAACTTGCCTTGTCTCTTCAGCGCCTTTTTTGCTTTGAAAAGGGAAAGCCTATGAAGTGTTTATCAATTTAAAAAGAAAAAAATTAAAAACCAGGATAATCTTAAAGGAGCAGTGATAAATATTTTTATATTTCAAATGAAGGATTCCTGGATGAACAATTCACTTTGCTCCTTTGAATTTATCGGACATGACCTGGAAAGGCAAAAATTCCTGCTCGGTGCAATAATTTTGTCTAATAAAATAAGGCCCGTGGCCAGAGAGGGGGACAGCCATGCTTTGGAGGAAGAAAGAGTTCTGGATCTAGCCTCCATTGAAAAAGGTTAAAAAAAAGTATAGTGTACATTGTCATTTTTTTTTCTTTTTTATTTCAGAATATTACGGGGGTACAAACGTTTTGGTTACATGAATTGCTTTTGTACCGTTCGAGTCCAAGTTATGAGTATGCCCATCCCCCAGTTAGTGTGCACTGTGCCCATTAGGTGTGAATTTACCCATTCCCTCCTCCCCCCTTAAGTTGTCATCTTAAAACTGCCCGTCACATTTGTGTCCAGGGTAATCAGATTTGGTCTTAGGCTCATCCTGTGTAAAAAGAACCAGTTGGCATTTCAGAACAGGACCTTTGTCTTTGCTCTTTCTTCCGTGGGGAGGGAGAAGCGATGACCTGTCACTGTTTTCCTCTCTGCAAAGTGATCTGTTGATGAGACATCCTCACTTTCATGGGCTCCCAGTTCCCTCTGGGATAATCCCAGGTTCTCGGTTCTGGCATGGCCCCCTCTCCAGGGCCCTCTCCTGCTCCTCGCCTTCCACGCCCGGGCCCCCAGCCCGCGCACTGTGTGTCCCACGGCCCCTGTGCGGCTTTATGACTGTGCTTTCCCGCGTCCTTGCCTGCGCCTGCAGCTCGCCTCTCCCTTTCACCCACCTGGTGCTCCCACAGACTTAGCCCAAGCAGTCGCCGAGTACAGATGCTCAAAAAGGAAAACCAAAAATGCTATCATCCGTGATTCCATTACTGAGATGCCCTGCCGTCATATTGTTATCTGTGCTTCTAGTCCCAATTCTATTTATTTAGTGATCGTTGTTTTAGGAACATACGATCCACCCAAGTCTTGGGCATCCTTTCTAGATCTCAAAGCCTTCACGGTTCTGTCAGGTGATTTTTGATTGATTTCCTGTGGTCAACATGACTACTATGCTTTTCTTATTCCTCTTCTCAGAGTGAGACTCTGTCCTCACACACTCCCTGAGATGGAGACAGGCTTTTATCCCCCTAGAGTGGTAAGCGTATTGGGACAATAATAGGCCCTGTCGCTAATTAGAGTTCTGGACCCTTCACGTCCCACACTTGAGTCCCAGGGAAAGAGATCACCGCGGTCAGCTATATAAGCAGACCCTAACAGGGTCTATAAAGGCGAGTGTTCAAGGACTTCTAAGGAGGGAGGAGGGGGATATATTTTCAGCTGTCACAAAGGAACAGTCCCCACCCCTGGCTTGAACAATTAGAAAATCTTTTCTTCATACAGAAAGCTCTTGTCTGGATTTTGGGGCTCACTCTCCTCCCCTCACCCCAACCAGGCTACTGAGAGTCTTCATTAATAAATAGCCATCTTAAAACAATGTCGATCCCATCTCATCTAGAGAACCAGTCTTGGGGTTAACACTTGCCTCTCTGGCTGTACATACTGATTTTGCTTACTTATAGATACTCTTCTGTTTCTTCCTGAATGTTTCTATTTGAAAACAAGGCCGGGCGCAGAGGCTCACGCCTGTAATCCCAACACTTTGGGAGGCTGAGGTGGGAGGGTTGCTTGAGGCCAGGAGTTCAAGACCATCCTGGGCAACACGGCAAGACCCCTTCTCTATAAAAAATTTAAAAATTAGTGAGGCATGGTGGGATGTGCCTGTAGTCCCAGCTACCCGGGAGGCTGAGGTGGGAGGGTTGCTTAAGCCCAGGAGTTTGAGGTTGCAGTGAGCTACGATTGTACCACTACACTCCAGCCTGGCCGACAGAGTGAGACCCTATCTCTAAAAATACAAATACAAATATGTTGCATACAGTGGGGAGAGGAGGCGTGTCAAAGATTCAAGAGTCTGAAGAGCTATTTCCTTCCCTGCTGTCTCCCTGATGGGTTCCATGCCAAATGACCTGCCAAGTAGAAGCACCTCTGGCCCTGTCAAGAAAATCCTGGCTGTGCCAGCCTCTTGCTTCCACTCTGCAGGTGAGGAAGGGCAGTGGTGAGTGGTGACAGACCCAGGAGAGAGATATGGCACTTCTGTGGTGATGGGTCCCAGCTTCCCTGGTCATCAGATTCGTCCTTTGCCCTTGGAAGTTTGGCTTCTCTCTGTCTTCCGTGGCTCTTTGAGGCTCTATTCGTGGACGGACGCCTTTCCCATTGCCTCTCGGGGCTGCTTCCCATTCCACGTGCCACAGTTTATTGTTACTTTCCACCTGCTTCCACCTCTTCTCTCCCAGACCCTCCCTAAATCAGAGTCGGGGGCTGGCCTTGCCTGTGTAGGTGAGATGATGTCCTCGGTCTGCTAAACAAATTATAGCAAAGAAAGACTCTCATCTGGAAAAAGCCCACTTTTTTCAAGTGGATTAGGCAACCAAAGGGTTTTTTTTTTTTTTTTTATTTCGTTTTGTTTGTTGGGGTCTTGTTTGTATTATTGCCATCCAGAAGTTATGTAGGAACATCTTATCAAGTTTTTCAATCCAGACTTAATTCTTGTTTTGCTTATTTTTATCACCATAAGCCTGTCACTACGCCCAAGAGGAACTGGGGGAATTCAGAAGCAGAAGACTTCTTTCGCCTTTGGAGCCTGAGAGTTGCATGCCCCCGCAAGCCCGCCGCCCCCGTGCTGCGGTGCAGAGTGGATGTCCTAAGGGAGGATCCTTCTAGCTTTCTAGCTGCAGCCTGCCCTAAAGAAAACAAACCCCTCCTTCCCCCCGGGGCTAACCCACTTCACCAAACCACTCTGGAGAGGAAGAACACTGGTGATCAAGGGGATCGTGTGAGCTCACTGACAGGATCTGAGGCCACCCATGGAGAGCTCAGAGTAATTTATAAAGTCACCTTTTAAGGCAGGTTCAGAATGGCATCTGATTCCCGGAAACCAAAGGGTGTTACTCCCTGTTCTTCAGTCTAGAAGAGCTCCTCAGGTCTCCCTGGTGGCCTGAATGCCCAACAAGCACCACTGAACTCAAAATGTCTAAAACTTAACTTTTTTTTTTTTTTTTGCTGATTTTTCATCTACGACTCATCCTTCCTTTCCCTCTCCGCCACCATTACCGCTTTCCTCTAACCTAAGTCCTAATCCAATTAGTCTGCTCGCAGACTGTCACTGGGAGCTTCCCTCTCC